CCGGGGCGCGGACCCCCCCCCGTAGCCGAGGTTTTCGGGGGGGGGGGACACCGGCTGCTCCCCGTGCTTGGCGGGGTGGGTGAAGCCCGTTCGTGGCTCCCCACGCAACGCTGACCCGGAGGGACCGGCAGAGCTTGTGCCCTACTTTGCTGCTTTTGGTTTAGAAAAGAATGCGATTTGAGGGCTTTGCTCCGGAAAGGAGCTTTGCTGCAGGAATGTGGGGCCGGCTCCTGCCCCCCCCCCCCCCCCCCCCCCACCTTGAGCCTGTCTGCTCAGATGTATCTTGTGAATGCAATGGAAAAGCCACCAAGTTAGGGAAGACAAAAATAGAGCTTGGGGGTGGGCTTTCCACCTTCCTTACTGCCTTGCATCTTAACTAGTTCCCTCTCCACTCCAGCCCCGTCTCTGTCCTGCATCCCCACTTCCTCCTGCCCCCCCCCCCCAGCTGGGACGAGCCCCGAGCCAGAGGGAAACGGGACCCACAGCTCAGCTCTGACCCCCCCGCTCTCTCCTGCAGCCGGAGCCGAGCGGGGTGTGGGGCAGGTGCCCCCCAGCCCCCCGCCATGGCCGTGGGCACCCAGCTGGGGCTGCTGCTCTGGAAGAACTTCACCTACCGCCGGCGGCAGCGGGTGAGCAGGTCCCCGGGGCGGGGGGGTGCCCGGAGCCGCTGGGTCCTGGTGTGGGGGCAGGCAGAGCCCGGGGTGCCAGTGGGGACCATGACCCTCCCCTGATCATGGGTCTCCCCCAGATCCAGCTGGCCATCGAGATCCTCTGGCCCCTCTTCCTCTTCTTCATCTTGATCTCGGTGCGACAGTCCCACCCGCCCTTCCAGCAGCACGAGTGTGAGTGTCCTGTGCCCTCTGGGGTGACCCCCTTGGGACCCCCCCTTGTGCAGGAGCATTGGGGGATGGCCCTGGGTGGCACCAAAGAAGACAAACGTGGGAGGTGGAGATGAGCTGGGGGGTCACTGGCATCTCCCCCGCTTGGGGGTGTGTGTGGCCCTGGGGGTCCTGTGTTACCCCCCACCCCTGGGCCCTTCTGTCCCTCTCCCACAGGTCACTTCCCCAACAAGGCGCTGCCCTCGGCGGGGACCCTGCCCTGGCTCCAGGGCATCATCTGCAACATGAACAACCCCTGCTTTCGGCCCCCCACGGCGGGAGAGGCCCCCGGCGTGGTGGGCAACTTCGAGGGCTCCATGTGAGCGGCGGAGGGCGGGGGGCGGCGGGGCCTGCCTGGGCAGTGGGGCTGGGGTCTCACCACCCACCCCGTGCCCCCGCAGCCTCTCCCGCCTCCTGAGCGAAGCCCGGCAGGTCCTGCTCCGCACCGACGGGCAGCGGCTCCTGCGCAGCTTCTCACGACTCCTGCCGGTCCTGCGCAGGCTCCAGGGGAACGGGGCTCAGCAGAGGGGTGAGCACCGGGGATGGGGGGTGCTGGGGGAGCGAGACCGCCCCTGGCTGAGC